GATGCCTTTGCCTGAGTCAGAAAGGTTAATGGTGACGGTTCCTAGATATAAATTAATTTCTAAGTACTTGATAATTACTTAAGAAATTACCTGGGTTGAGTATTCCTCTTCCGTAGAACTAAGTTCAATAACTTCATGAAAATCCATGTCTAGGAAGTACTTGGCAGGTACTTATAAAGTACTTGGTAAGTGCTTGAAATAAAGTGTGTAATGAACTTGGAGAAATATAAGAGGAAGTTGAATTTCAATAATAAAAAACAGTAATTTATAGGGTCGTGTGGAACGTTCCTGCTTACATAAAGGGCTTGGCATCACGTGCCGCGGGAACGTTCCACGTGTACGCAAGAAAAAGTTCATGTGAACTGTGTTCACGGGAGATTGCTTCCGCCGTCCGCAGCTCTCGCTTAGGTACGCAGAACCACCTCCACGGCGCCTTACGGGATAAGCCGCAAGACTTCGAACACTACAAAGTATATCATGCCACATCGAGCAGCTTCTCGCGTGGACTTCTTCGTATATTTTAGCATATGAATTCATGAATCTTTCCAGTCTATTGTAGGGTCCTCCATTCAGTGAGGTCACCGCATATTGACCCCAACCACTACGCCCGATGATATGCCCAGGATGTCCATCGATCGCACAAGTCGCAATTGCCGATCGAACAAATGTCACGACGTTGTTGCGATCCATAGCTCTGAAGCAACTGCCCATGGAAATCCGAGTATCCGGCTTGTTCCTCTAATGACCGATCTGCACTCACCCTCTTGTTATCACATAAAGTCATCGAGAAAATCGGGATCTCGGTCCTGATTGTTGCTCGCTTGAACGTTCTCCTCACTCATCAGGTCATCATAGGCATGATCTTTCTGCCACTTCAACTGTTCTCGTTCCCTCCGTTCCTGCTTTTCCCTCGATCGTTGCTCCTCTCTTACCTTACGTTCCTCTTTCTGCTTCTTCTTTAGATAGTCATCCTTCTCCGCCTTGAGATCAGGGAACTTTTCAATACGCGTCTTGTTCAATCGGTTGACAATTGGGTTTTCCCGTTGTCGGACAAGGACCTTGCGGACCATCTTAGGATTGTGGAAAGAAACCTGGCCGGTCGCCATAGATCCATCCTTCATAAGATTCGACCATGGCGTATAGATCACGGTTATATTGTCCTTCTTGTTGCCTGCTCTGCGACTTAGTTCCCCTCTCATAGGTGGTTTTCGGCTGCTCGGTCGTCATTGCTAACCTTCGATCGAATTCGCTTTGGTAAGCTGTGCACAATCTTCCAGCAGCTGCTGCGGGATGTTGTCCCATGTTTCACCTTCCCGGAGGCGGAGATATACGTGGGCACTGGACAAGTTATCGACGTGGAACTGGATGTAGCATCATGCTCCGGTTAGATTCTTGCATCTCTGACACAACAGGGTGGTGAACACACCCTACAAGGTAAACACCCAAATGCAAGCGTCAGCACGCTGTTTGCGAAAGGTAGTCGGCGACGGCGCAAGGGTGACGGTACCAGACGTCCTTCTCCAACCCATGTGTTATAAGGTCCTCATCTGCCCACAAAAATCGTCAGACTATGCGCATGTTCCAGACTAGAACATGGTCGTCGTACTCTCAAATTTATCTTTCCCAACGTAGATGAAAGCCGAGGGGTCAACGACCTTTGACGTGTAATAGTATACCATTTTGTCACGATGACTTCTAATCAGGGGCCAGCACGACAAAATTAGCAGCAACGCGATAACAATGCAAGTCCGGCAAGGGAAGATTCAGTATCCTCAAGCGATTCGACGAATGTGTGTGGAAAGATTTCTTTGCCAGAGAGCGCGGGGAACTAGATGCGGATTAGTCATGTTTGTATCCGTAGTAAAGTTAAGCGTGCTTTGACTATTCCAGTACTAGCTATGTATAGATGGGCAGAGTAGCTAGTTTAGCAGCCAGTCACTTCGCTGCTCCATTAGAGGCATCATTCCCGATTTCCATAATGTAATTGCACAGGGGCTCTGGTGGTCCAGATTTAAAGAATTACCTGCCTACTGCTTACACGTTGTTGGTCTATACGCAGGAATCGTGCCCTTCCAGGAGCTCTCTCAACGAACCTCTGACCAAGTCGCCCTGTCACTCTCCAAAGATATTGCATCAGCAGTGATTGGTAGGTGAGTATCCCACTTATGATTAGCGTGTCACGCTGGACTCCAACAGGCTGCAACAGACTAAGTGGGTGTTTCAACGAGCCCACAGCAGGGAACATGGGGGCCGATGCACCGCTGGCCCTACTCATAATCCCTGGGTTTTGGCGCGTAATTCTCAGGCTTGGTCAACTATTTTCGGCGCTCATCAAGGCGCATCCGTTCGTCAGCGGCAAGGGGGTTGGCTAGCTGACCCAGCCTAGAAGCAGTCGCCCATCAGAATCAAACATAGCCTGTGGAATGAGTTGTTGAGACGCAATGCCCTTGTTGTTGTCACCACAGATTCACTGTGGGTATGGACACTCCGTGCATACAGTCGGGTACCGGGATGAATTTACACAGAATGGGCAGGAAAGTCCACTCTTGTCATAGAATGTTTGATCGGACGCTGGCGGTAACCCATAGGCTTAGAATTCCAGGCGTGAGCCTACACCTGGGATAGGTTTGACAAGTGGCAGGCATGAGATATAGAGGCTGGTCCGAATGACGGATGACCCAGATAGGGGAGAAATACACCATTAATATCCGTGTATAACATTGAATACTGCGCTTGCTTATGCAGCAAAGACAAGGAGCATCATGCTTTCGGTTGTAACGGCCATACATCGGTCTGACAGAGATGGAGATACAGTGTCAACGTGTCAGTATGGTGATCCTGGCGCATAGCTTCTATTCGAAAAGGAACCAAAATGCAGGGAGAAAGGGTGGGACAAACGGTGGCTCACGGCATCAAGTGCAGAGGCGCGCACACACCCAGGGCATGGTGGTTTGCTTCCGCAGTAGGAGGGGGAAAAAACAAATAGATGGATTGGTTAAAGATAGATCAAGTCGATCATAGCTCTATTGGATGGATAGTTGTAATATTAGAAGAACGAGGGTCCGTTACTCAGCCTTCCCTATGTTAACTAGTTGGATATGAGTGTTGTCTTAGCGATACAACGGGCCGGGTAGGTACTACTAGTACTATCACGACTACTTACTGTAAGTGACTAGCCGAAACGGTGAGCTGCTGCCGCAGGATCCTGTCTGCATGGGCAATTGCAACGGAGTACCTCATAGTAATAGTAAGTAGTGCTTGAGGGAAAATTGATGCATATTTTCTAACCAATAGGAGGATTGTGGTACGATTCAAGGGATCTTGCTGGTGTATACGTTGCGAATACACATTGTGTACATCTGAAGCGAAACACTGACGTTTTTCCCTTTTCCCAACAGCGAAGCTCTCAGAGATGCGAGTCATTTCACCTCCTAGCCTAAAACTCCATACCGCCGCCGACCGATTCGCCTTGGAGCGAACCACCCAGGACCCACCCAGCTCATGCACCGGACCGTACGGACTTGTGGGCGAGTCGTACGTATGTCCCAGAGCACACTTGACGGAGAGTTTGAACTCTTTTGAGATTTGTGGAAGCTGTCCGAAACTTTCAAGTCCACATCCACACCCATTATCAATCATCCCCCATGATAGGAAAATTGAAATTGAGAAAATATAAAATCAAATATATAGAATTGAAAGTTAAAATAAAAAGGAAGATAGAAAGGAAGAGAGAAGGAAAACTTATACACGTTCATGAATATTTTATCTCCTTATTTCGATCTACCTTACTTCTTAGTTCCATTTGATTGGTGAAGTTGGACAATATTCCCGAAATGCCAGTCACACATGACCACGAAAAAATCTCTTCTCACTGGACAACGTCTAAACGAAATCGGAAGAACCGAGCTAGGGAAATTTTTAAGTTTTTTGTCAATTTTTTTCTTCCTTTTCCGCCCTTGCTAACCACGTAGACCTCAGACAAGATGGCTCTAAAGTCAGATACTTTCAACCCCATTTTACTCCGTAACGAGACCCAGTCCATCCACGGAACAGAAATACACTCAGTTACTGGATTTGTGCAAGCGCCGGCTGTTCCTAGACGGATTACCCGTAGTTACCGGACGACTACCACCGATCCGTACGTAACCAGTTCCCAATCTCGACTAGTGACAACCAACCAGCGACAGCCGCTCGTTTCGGCCAGGTTCGCAACCCTACCAGTTTTACCCTACCGTGGAGCCCGAATCTGACACTTTTCCCATCGCGAGGAAAACCGTTACGCCAAGGGCTCAATACTAGAAGCTGCTACAGCGGGTGAGCCCGTACGAAACCCCACCTGCCACATGGCCATACAAATCAGAGCAAATGGGAGGGAAATTAAAGAGGGTGAACGCGAGGAGAGAAGAAGGGACAGGTGGAAAAAGGGTGACCGAGAGAAATAGAATCCCCACCACTGCTGCTTCTCTTGCCTTCCTGAGGTATCTGGATACATACACTGATAAATTCGACGTGCTCCAGACAACTTCCGGAACTAAGTACATCAACGGGTATCTTTGCGCGATAAGATATTTTTCTTTTTCTATTTTTTTTTTTTTTCCGTTTCCTTTCTCCTCGGCTCTTTCACAAGGCACGAGGACTCGGAACAGATCAGATCTATCAAATCTAACCAAATCCGATAGGCTGAAATGGACACAAGTCGATCAGTACTAATCACTTTTCAGAAGTGGCACTCCTGCATAACAGACGCAATCCATAAAGAGCCCATCCAATGGTTTGAAAATTTGAAGGGAAGAAGTAAAAAGCGGTAAAATGGGCATGGGAGAGGATGGAAGAGGGACGCATCAGAAAAAGACAATAATAGTAAAGGATGGAAGACTAAGAGGCTTTGGTAGTTAGTACTTACCGTGTAAGTAGTATGGGAAAAAATGGCCCGAAAAGAATAAAAGAAGGTGGGGAGAAAAAGAATAAGAAAGGAAAAGAAGTAAATAGCAGAATAAAATAAAATCAAATAAATGAGGATGATGATTAAAAATAAAAATATTGACGGGGGAAAAAAAGAAAAGAGAAAAACGGGAAAACGGAAAAGGAAAAAGAAAAAGTTTTGGGGGGGTTTTTTTTCAAAAAAAAATAAATAAATAAATTATTGGGAGGAAAAAAGGGAAAAAGGAAGAAAAAAAGAAAAAAGAAAAAAAAAGAAAAGAGAAAGAAACCCTGTAGTATTAAAGGTAAAACTGGAAACACATTCAAACATGGATGTTCCCCCGGCGCCAGCACGTCCATTCATTTAACAACATTAATATAATATTCCATGTTCATAGAATTACTCTAAATGTATTAGTCTATTTGGTTATTCTTACTATGATTGAATCATTAGTATTATTCTCCCTTGTTAGAGACTCGATCCACGATTACCCAGCAAACCCCCTACTCCACCTAGACGATGTTAAATGGGGAAGGTCGGAGCTTGCCAAAGACAGTCCGCCAGAAAAAATTTTGATGAGAAGCTCAGGGATCATTCTATTTCTACCCCTTTCTTCTTCATTCATTAAACTGGCTTGTCCTCCCTGAGCAATCCAGCATTCTGCAATACCCGCGGGATTCTTCTGTCTTCGTTTTTCTACACTTCCTTCAACAAAAAAACCAACCAAAGAGATCGAATATCTGCCTCGAGATTCCAAGAGCAATTACCCCAGATGGCTGAAACAGCGAAACCTCCATCCTCTGCCGAAGTGCAAAATGCCTTAGCCCGCGCCAGAGAGTCCGAGTCTGGTCCTGACGCTGCTACGATGGCTATACTCGAAGGTTCCGTCAACGGTCTATGGGAACGTATCAAGGCTGAGCCGGAATACGTGCTCAACCAAAAAGAATTCTCCTTGTTCAACTACTTCATCTTACGCTATAAAAAGGAGCCTGCGTGTAAAAGAGCCGTGGAGCAGTTTTGGAACCATTATCGCGCAGACGAGGCCACCAACGGAAGCAAGACTTAGTGACTGTAGTGCGCTCGTCAAATAGCCGTTCCTATGCCTACACCACCTTCAGGCTCAAGGCTCCGAGGGAGAGAGAGAGAGAGAGAAAATTGTGGGCGCCAAGCCATGATTGAGCTTGACAGTCAGATCAAGCAGATAATCTTGCGCTCAGAAGCAAGCGCTCAGCAATTCCCCGTCAACGACCTCGTCGTCTCCTAAAACAAACAAGAAACTGAGACGTGACAGGGGGCGATGGAGTGAACCTCGATGGCCGCAACATATGCATCTTGAGCCCTCTGAAATCCGTGATTCGGGGGAAATTCCAGTCACAGTTTTAATGTCCAGTCATTCTGTCGATGTTCGATTGATTGACCATGCATTCTGATCCCCAAGTCCGAGCTGGTTGGTCCGATACCCGAGCGGACGAGTACACGGGTATAGCCGTCTCGACTGTATCCGTCAAAGATGACCGAACTGTCGAAAATTGCCAGTTTCAAACGTTGGCATTTCATGCTCATTTGTGTTGCGTATTTCATTTCTTGCCTATCCCCTGTGTGGTTTTCTATGGAACAAATTTATCTTTTGTTTTATCTCCCCCTCTTCTTCTAATTATCACTGTTTTCCTGCTCCGATTTTATCAAGTCTTTCTTTCTTTTCTTTTTTTTTCCTCTTCCGCTCTTCGATCTGCTGCTTATTGAACAAGCTATGGGATCATTTTCAAAATAAATTGTTTCATCATCACAACTCAGGGAGGGATCATCACTGACCTGGACCCTCTCCTGTCCGTGCCCCGCACTTACCCTTACGGGGACTTCTAGGTCCCTCGGCTGACGTGTTTTCTCACGTACATAACCACCAGCAAGTGGTGCTGTTCTAAATTCTAACACAGTGAGCTGCGCCAGGGACCAGCCATACACATAGGGCATCTTCTGAAGCGGAGTAGCCATTCCCAGGCTACTTCTGGGTGTACATTTAAAAGCTTACTCCTGGGGGGGAAGGAGGATGAGGAAAGGAGTTTGGGTGAGGGTGGAAGGAATAGAAATAAAAACAAGGCACGTCCGCACTTTTACCACCACCAAGTCTTGACTCGGAAAGCGGAAAAAGAGATTTGTCGTTGGGAAACGGACTCTTCCGGAGGGCAGTTAGTTTACTTTACGTACCTTTGTTAACATGACACTAAGAGGCTCCCGCGTACGATAGCCATGCAGCTACACCTTAGATCCGCTGTAGTTCTGCACGAGGCCATAAGCACGAAAAGCCCTCACTACTGCACCTGAGCGCCAATGGCTTGCTAAAGGAAACTTATGTACAAATTAGTAGGTACAGTAGTAGTAAGGTAGTTATGTAGAACATACTTTGTACTAACTAAATGTTCTAAACTTAGTAAGAAGTATGGGTGAATATTACATAGCGAGACCTGGTAACGAAATATAAGCATGACTAGAAGTAGAATCGAAGATGGAAAGTTGATGAACACGGAGAATTCTATGCAACAATTAATTGCTTCTAAACTACTTAACTGGTAATGATGACGGTCCCTCCAAGCTCTTTCAGGGTTTCTCCCTTTTCCCTCACTCAAATTCAGCCCATGACCTCCTCTGGGGCGGGTTTTGGGTTTCCCTTGGCGCCCGCCCCCTCTTCCCCCCGGTCAAGTACCACACTACAGTTATACACTATACCACCCCCGGTAAGTGGGGGCGGGGAGAGGGGGGAAAGCGGCCAACTGGGAAAAGAATTAGAGAAATTGGCCGTAAATTGAACAAAAGAAATAAAATTAAACCAAAAATATAAATAAAATCCAAACGAATCGAGGAACTCCCGCTGTCCGGGTTGCATCCAAATCGGGCTCCCGCGCGGACATGGTTCCGCAGGCCTTGTTATTGGGTGAATGGGCACCAGTGGATTTCCGCGATCCGGTTACTTACGAGTAACTGGCTAACAGTATAAATTAGTCTGTACCTTAGTAGATTGTACCTACTAGCAACCTACTTAGTATTGCGTAGTACCGGAAGTGCCTCTTGCTCTCCTTGATTGAATAAGAGCTACTACTCGCTGGTCCTAATAGGTCCCGAGCGGCTACCAACTACAGCAACTAGCTGGGTGTAGTACCTGGGTATCACATGTGGGTGGTTGCATCCTCAGCGGCCAAATGAATGGTAATACAAGCAAAGTGTACCTAGTGTACGTGTTCGCTCCTAATTGTCAACAATGTCTGTAGTACTGGCTCAGGCATCATAGGTAACGTAGCCAGGGCCCTACGCGCGAGAGAAACTAGCTATAAATATCTGCCTACCATACGTGCTATGGAGCCCGCTTATGATATTGTCTAGCAGTATCTACCTATATACATGCTATGCGCCCACGTCAATCGTTGAAGAATAAGCCGCCTATTCCCGCAGAACGAATCATGGGTATGTCCCGGACATCTCGGGTACATAGGTGCAGACACGATAGCTTTGCCAGCAGAAAGTCCCTGAGCAACTTACTGCTAGGCAGGAAAGGACCACCAAGAACCTCCGAGTGGGCCTAACAATAAATGTTTACCAAAGGGGCAAACGGGCAGAAGCAAGTAAAAATCTGGTAATGTGGAAAGGTAATCGCAGGCACACAAGTCTAGTGTCTGTCCTAGCAGACTGGAATGATGTTTGCACGCTTGCCCGGCGCTACCCTTCATAGTCCGGCACTTTATAGATAAGATACACGGCTTCCAATACCTTCCTTATCTTGTCTCGATGCAAGGTGGCATGCTTCTGGCCTTGCCGTGACCGCTTGACCTAGTTTCCCAAGCAGTAGTCATGCATTATCTGCACAAGAGAACCTCCTTCGAACGGCGTGTTCACTGAGATTGCTTTGGACGGATCTGATAGATGAGTACACCCCAACTATACACTGGACACCGGTTAGTTGGTAAGCCAGTGACAACTGTAGATCCAGCTTACAATAACTAGCCCGATGATGACATTGATGCAATTGAAGCCTATCAGGATTGTCTGTTTCCAACTGAGAGGCCTCCCAGGTACATTGAGGTAAAGCCAAAACACGCCTGGGAGACTGAACGTAAACCAGCTGGCAAACAACGAGCTCTGCAGGATAGGGGTCAGCTGTTTTCGTGCCCAAGGGGGTATATTTTCTTTTTCGTTATTTCCCATTTGTCCCAAGAACTTACCGTAAGCCCCAAGATATCGTTGAAAACCGGTATGCTTTCCGCTACTACCCAGGCTAAAAACCATAGCGTCGCGCATACAGCGATCCATTGTGATATTGCACCGAAGGAACGTGAGTGCATGGCATTGCTGCCGTGAAACATCCGCAAGTATATTGATTTCACCGCGACATGGGCGTTGACGACACCTGCTATCACAATCTATGCGATCAGTTGAACGACAAGGGAGCACAACTTTGGTTGGGCTGCCTACCGTTGGGATTGCAATGCCATATGATATCTTTTTGAAGAGTGAACTGACTGAATTGAGGGATGGGGAAGCAATATCCTTTCCAACCAATAGATATAGTACGATAGCCGTCACTGTGTAGAGCGTCACCTCACTCACTTGCAATAACGCTAGTGCCCTTGGGTAGTCCTTCACGTCCCGAAGCTCTGAAAAGAAGGCAAAGAAGGCAACATGTCCAGCATACGCAAATACAACGTTTGCAATTGCAACCACTATGTCGTGGAAAGTGGGCGGTAATGATGTCTGGATAGGGCTTGTCTTGTTAAGAGATGCTCCTCCAACCATGCTAACGAAGACTGCTCCGAGGACACTAGCAAAGCTGATTGAGGAGAGAAATGACAGGCTTTCGAGACGTCGTGGGATGGTGAAGACGATCGAAAGCAATCCTCCAGCCACGGAAATTAGAACTGTACAGCCCGAGTAACCGGTGAGAACGCTCACCATAATAGAGAAGGTCAGTATATGGCTAGCCATTATGAGTATGAAGAAGATAAGCTGAGCAGCGCCCAGGATTTCACAGCCAGTCCTTCCCCACAGTATGCTTCCGGCATCAGCCATACTATGTGTCTGAGCATAGCGACGCTTGAACTCCCCAATGACTAGTCCTGTGTAGGTCGTCAGTACCCCGACGCCAATGATAACGGCAATCCCACTGCGGAACGTTAGCTTGTGCAGGAATCATGGCTAGTCTAAGCTAAGGAAACCGTACGGGAAAAGACCCAAAGTAGCTAGCACTTTGGGGAGAGCCAGGATTCCAAGAGAGATGGTCTCTGCTATCATGACTGGTATCGTTAGGACTCCATGTTGTAACATGCATGTTTCAACCCGAGATTACTCACTCATTCCAGCCTGCCTGGAGGTTAATTAGCACCTAGTGGCTAGTAGTTCTCGGAGACCGGTAGCGCACTCACCACCAACTCAATGTCTTGTACTTCACCTCCAGCCCGGTCTCATCTCCGAAAAGATCCTCTCCCTCGCAGTTAGTGTGTGGCTGGGACATTGTAGTAGGACGGTCGCTCTCTGCCTTCCAGAATTCTAGACTATTCTCACACGGCCATGAGGTCACAACCCCGGCACGCCTCTGAATTACGTGCCATGTCATAATTTGGTGAGTGTGCAGTATAGGCTGTCAGGCAAAGAGGTGAATATGTAATAACCTGGCGAGAGCCTCGAACGATGTTCAATAACTGTATGTTCGTTGCCGGAAATCTTAATTCTTAAAGCACTATTGCAATTCAGGGTAGAGGAGGCTCATTCCCTGGGAAAAGGGGATAGAAATAACCTTGTCGAGCAGGCGTTCCTTCCACGACCAGTCCGCATTCATGAACTTGCCCGATCTGTTTCCTTCTGTTGTTAAAAGTTAGCCAACCACCATATGCATTGAGTGCTCAAGGCTTGACCATAACACAGCTGAAGCCTAAGACCCAGGTTATACCTCCCCTGTCTGACATGTTTCAGATTATTTCTCTAAATGATCCCTTTTACTCCAAGGCAGGCCGAGTACATACATCATAATATTGCCCGTCGGCGCCATTCTTAGGGATAGAGAAGCCGAGACATATCATTGCTTTAGCTGAGAGAAAGTAGAGGAAAATCTTTAACCAGACTCATCATACATTATGGAATCAAAGTAATACATCGAAATTATTTATACATAAGGCAATACTCTATAGCTCATGACACTTCTATTTGTTTGCCGGGGACTCGGGGTGTATCAGCTTGTTAGAATCTGACGAGGGGATGTCACTACTGAGCACATCCGCCGGGGGATCTAAGAATTCGTTAGTCAGGTCTGTCGCGAATGAGCTGTTCAGTGCAGGTCCTACTCACCGGACCGAGCAAAGGCCTTTCTTTGCGCGAT